TTGTTATCTAAAATAAATTAAGAAATGCATTAAAAGAATTTATTTGGTCATGGACCCTAGGTTTTCTGGTGTTCTTTAGTCATGTGTGACATGTTGGTAAAGTTGGTTTTGCCCAATTATGTGTTTGCAACATAAGTTAATAATTATTTTCTTGCCGATGTGGCTTATGGACAGATCTGAGAACTTAGCAAAGTTCTTCATGATAATGTGCTTTGTTGTGAAACTTGTTTATACAAAAGTTGTAGATAATTCATGTATCTAGCTACTGTTAAAATTTGGTGTCATTTGGCCAAGTAGTTTAAGAGTTACAACTGTTTAAAGTTAGAGTACAGGATTTGTTGCTCTCTGTTTTGTATGAACCAGTTTCTGTAAAGGTATAATTTCGACCTACTTAACTTGTGAATCATGCTATGATGGTTACAGATGAAATGTAGATAATTTCATAAGCTTTCCAAAATGTCTTCTTGCAAGTCATTTGGATTTGTGTAACTACAGTTATGCTTCTCTGAAGTTGCAATCAGTTTTATGTCCATGTCTGGACAGGTCTGAAACATCTACATGTTTGACCTGTTTAACTTTGTAATTAGCTTTTTATGTAAACATCAATCTTGTATACAAATTCTATGGATTTTCATAAAGTCTTAGATCATCCTTGTGGGATGTTTGTAGCTTAAGTTATGTTTGAAACAAGTGACTGTTTGCTGCTGTCCAAATCTGCTTGTATCTAGAATTGTTTGCTTCTACTTGCTCTTGTTTGTATGATTGCAAATGGTTATCTTGGACACCTAGAGTTAAGGTAGCATGCCTAAAATGTTTTGCTAAATTGTGAAGTACTTGATCATGTATAGCTAGCTGGTTGTATGACATGCTTATGTGTGTATAGTGTAACATATGCTTGTTTAGTATGCTTGTTGCATTCCTTCATGTGTATTCTTTATGTTCATGCATCTCGCATCTATGCATCTCATCCTAGGTACGCTAGGTACAGCACGTGGGACGTGGGCGCATGATGTGGAGACAGGGCGATGGTGTATGGTGGACCTATCCCGAAGGTGGAAGGACTGGACAAGTGCTAGAACGGGAGATGCTCACTTAGCGAGTGTCGTCTACCTAACACCGACTTGTGTCGGATCCCGTGCAAGCCCCGGAGCATATTAAGCCTCCTAATTTCGAAATGCGATTCTGATGATTATTGTTACATATATATTGTTGCATTAAGTTTAGGTGTTGGATGCAAACACTTCTTTGCATTGGTTATCCAATCCTTGTCCAGATATTGATACCACCGAATCCTATGTAGCTCGGGCTCGTGTAGTGCTTAGCCCTGCTCAAACACGATAGAAGTCGGGTGATTTCACATCACTGCGAGATATAGGAAGATACATATGGCACGGTTGGCTATATTTGCTATCGTGGAAAAAGAACGGTCTTAATTTGAAATGAAGACCGGACGGAGGCTTGTCGGTTTCAAAGTGACTCCGTGCGTGTCGATTAAGGACTGAATCTTGGAGCCTTTCTGTTCATGTTGAACGATGCCTCTCTCTTAGTTGGCGGATGTCGGAGACCGACCACGGCCGAGTAGCTCACCTCGGGCCGGGAGTCGATAAGTATAAAGTGCGCCTCGGAAGGAGCCGTGAGGCGTGAGTCCAAGGCGGTGATTTAAAAGTCCCGATCGTCTGGCGGAAGGGTAATCCTCGAGAGTCTTGTTGTTGATCGAACCATGAATTTGGTTCTGAGATGTTCCAAAGGTGACCCACGGCTACCCTTGCAAAGTATGCCAGGTGAGAGTTAGGAATACCCCTCTCGGTGAGTTGTAATTCGATTGAATCGCCGTCTCTCCCGGTTAGTGAGAACTTGACGGGCTTATCTCCAATGTAGATACACTAAATAACCTAATGGTTCGGAAATGATGATATGATGATGATAGCCTTATTATACCTGCTATGGTTAATATTGTTTGCTCCTAATAAGTGAGTGCTCTAGTACAGGTGCTAATCTAGTGGATAGGTAAATGATGATAAGCTTGATGCTAAGTTTAAATTGGTTACTATGCTCATAAGCTCTTTTATGCAAAAGTGTCAAGCTAACCCACCTCATAAGCCTTGCATGATCCTTGGTGTCCTTTATTCTGGTTTGACGGGTAAGTCTAGCTGAGTACCTTCTCGTACTCAGGGTTTATCCCACCATGTTGTAGGTGAAGTTCTTGGCCTGTGAAGATGGTGGCTAACCACCGATGAGCTCGGTGATTCTATAGTTACTTCTCATCTATATGCTTTTGTCGGGAGATGTCACTTATGCTAGCAATGTATTTGGAACATATATTAATGTAATCTTTTGAAAGATATGTTGTTTTCACTAATCGGTTTTGAAACCCAAGCTTGTACTATTATTTGCGAATCCATTTGTAATATTATTTTCCACTGCAACCCTGCGTATGTGATGTGTATTTGCTTAATCACGCGATCTTGGTTGTGATGTTGATTTACCGAGGTCTTTCGGGACACTCGGCGGACTACCGGGTTTATATGAGTGAAAGTATGTGTGTGTCAACGTGTTAGCGGGGACAGCCGTACTTGATCTTGTATAAATTGGGCGGTTCTGTTACATCGGCAGCGCCCTACGAACCTCTACAGTAGATACGAAATGACCAATTTACCTTCGCTCCTCTCCCTCCACTCGCTGACGCATGGGCCCCACACGTCAGCTTCTTCTTCAACCTCTAGGCTCCACCACGGCGAACCAAGCTCCTCTGTCGGCCCCTATGACCCTATCCCCTCCATCTCCTCTACCTATTTAAGCAGCTCTGAGGCCTTCTGCACACATGCCGCATCCAACTCGCCCATTTTTTGAGCTGCCCTCCTACTCCAGCGCCGCCACTGCCATTGTCGACCTCGCCCGGAGCTCCGATCTCCCTGCTCTGACCACCCCCGTGCTACGCAACAACGTGGGAAGGAGACAGACCTCCACCCTTGGCATCATACAGCACCGGCGCGCGGTCTGGCTAGGTGTGCCGGAGGTCAAGGAGGGGCAGCAGCAGCGCACCCGGGACTGCACGAGCACCTCCCCTTCCCTCGTTGCGTGGTGACAGCTAGACGTTGAAGGAGAAGATGACATGTGGGGCCCACATGTCAACGAGTGGAGGGAGAGAAGGACTAGGGGTAAATTGGTCATTTCGTATATCATGTAGAGGTTCCTAGGGGTGTTGCCGAGCTGGCGTGCTACGTGAGCGAAAGTGGCAAATGTGTATTGCGATAGCAAATCTGCAGATGCACACGCAAAGCGAGCAAACGGAGAGGTGCCGTCCGGTAAAAAGTTTAAAATCCCGGTAACAATTGGACTTGGCGTTCTGGGCTGCTACTTGCTGGCGGTGGTAAACCTGGGCCACATAACTTCTCTCTGTGTTAAAAGATAGCACAGCTATCCAAGGAAATAGTAACAATTTGGTAATTGCCAATTAGCGCTGTATCTACCAAAGAGCTATTTCTCGCTACAAACAAACCATGGAAAAGAAACAACGACTTCATCAAGCAAATCTGCAGCCCACTTAGATTTGGACACCACTAGGACTTTGGATAAACCCATTCCCTCCCAATACAGGTGGACTAAAGAGGGAATGAACTAAATTCTCTCCCAATCCCTCCAAGTTTATAACTTATATCGAAACAAACCCTTAGTGCCATTTAATCTAGAAAAGGATCCTCATGTATCACATTTAATCTAGAAAAAGGATCCTCCTCTATCATTTTTCTAATCCCTTAGCAGAAGATTTTCAGACATACAAACGTGAATTATTCTATCCAAATAAGATAGGTACGACCCTAATTCTGCATTTTCCACATTGATTGGAGCAAATCTGCCAGGAATCGCGGATTAGAACATCTGTAATGAAATTGGCATCTAAAAATCATTATAAATTCCTTTCACCGATACTATGGTGAAACGGCAACATCCGTACCTTCGCAGCTCTGCGTGTTGGCCAATGGTCCACGGCAACAGCGTCGTGAGTTTGCTGGCTAGCAGGGTAAAGAAGAAAAAGGTTTGTGCGAAATCACAAGTTATAGGTCAACCATGTTTGATTTTGTATACATAGTAAGTTTGCCATAGGTGAAATTTCATCCTGCATCCGCCACTGACGGAGGTTGAGTTCTATTGTTTGGTTTCATGTTCCGTTTTTGTCCGATTTTCCAATACCCTTCCGTTCTAACTTCTTCTATTTTTTCATAAATATTAAAAAATAAATAATAAATATAATACTATGGATTTTTGAACTCTTGATCTCTTTCTTAAGAAAAAGAAAGATTTTCATCAGATGTTAATGCAATTTTGTTGATTAGGGACAAAATTTATCTTACTATAGCCAGTTTAGCTTTTGGTCTACCTAGTCAAACTGTGAACTAAAATTTTGACCAAATTGTGGTCAATCCGGTCTAAATAAATCTAAACTGTATATACATACCAGTGTAATCCCAAACAGAGAGTTACCATATGAAAAATTAAGAGACAACTCCTGTCATAATTATCAGCGGACAGACCATTGCTTTGATTATGGATCCACAAAGAAAGAAAGTAATGCAACTCGATATTTAACTATATCAAGGCATAAATAGTTTGGTAACTATCTCTGTGCTTTGTAATGAAAGAAAAAAAATCTATCAAGACTGTATTGTAAATTTGATACAAACTTAATAGGATATTGTCATACAATTGCCAACATTAGCTTATATTATGGATGTTACAATCATCAAAAAATAAATTACAGCTTTCAAAGTTTATATAAATGATAAACATAAATAGATATGTACCATTCCCATAGTTGTTTTTCATGAATATTTGATAGTTTTTCCCGTTGCAACCTACGGATATATTTGCTAGCTTCTTTTCCTATATGTGAGCTTCGTATGTGTCAATATATCTCTCAACAAAATGCATGTTTACAATAATAAAACTCTTCCCATCTGAGGTCTATGTATGTGACTGAAGGCCACAAACCTAAAATGTCGCTAGACACGATTATCATCTTTTGATAGGTATCCAAGTTGCTTAAGATACCACAGAGCTCCCTCTGCCGCATGCTCATGCGCTGCTTTCTTTTGTAGCTTAGGATCGCTATAGCACTCCAAAAGGGTCGCTGAAGTTCCCGTGATCTGAATAAGGACCTTACAAGTGAACCTGCATGTAAAAAGACATAAATCATAGTTCATAGGTCACTCGACACCGACATTGTTTCCCATACGTAGAATAGTTGGCCACAAGCAATGTAGTCCAAAAACTACAATGATAGATATAGTTCAGCTTTGCTAATATAGAAAACTGCATGAACAGAGTTATTTTAGCCAATGTTCCAAAAGTGAAACGCTAATTACCACTCGAAGCTAGAACACAAACATAATTCCAGCTTCAAGGACAGAATTCTGATTGTAAAAGATAAGTCAATAAGTTTTCTCGCTCAGATATTTAGTAAGTAGATGAGCTTACTTTCGAAGGTGGCTTGGTCCTTCATCTTTGCATAACTCAAATTCAGGAGGTTTCCAATAGTTTGCAGCACATAGTTCATAAAGGAATGACCTTGCTGTTTTTATGTACCATATCACCTGTCAAGGTAGGAGTACTAAACAATATAAAGATATTACCTCCAAAATTGATCAAAATCACAATATGGTCACATTTCACGTCATGAAACATAACCTCCAAACATGTTTTATTGTATAGTGAAGTTATAAATTTTGTAACTTTTCATTCAAAATGTTTTTTAAAATAAAGTGCACACTTTATGGGTACTGGTTATGTTCCATGCAATATATTAAGTATACACTACAAGGTTGAACAAAATATGCAATTGCCCCTTTCCATGCAGAACTTTGTTGTAGCATATTTCCTATGCTAAGTGTGTATCACAGATATATGTGTAGTTTGACAAGCACCACAGGCATCTAGATGCCATAAGGATATATAAAAGATCAATAAAGGATTGAAGACCAATGGCTACTGTAGATTTATAAATGTCATTAAGGGCACTTCACATGTTCATCAGGTTGGTTGGAATCTGTAGTTGACACCTTGCTCATTCAAGCTTTAGATGACAAGCATATTTTACAGAGAGAAAAAATGGAGTTTAGAAATTACCATACCGTGATACTCTTTTTGGTTTATTTTATCAGTTGCCCCTCTAGATAGGCAACCATTCTGCACGACCACATTGGACTTATTGTTCCTTCCATTATTAACATCATTCTTGTCAACCTTGTTATCTCCTGTTGTACTCTGAATGGAGGTTTCAGACCTCCCGTTCAACGACACTTCTTTATTTTGAAAAAGATGTTTCCTTCCATTTCTCCATTTATCAGTAGATTCTTCATTTGTATGTCATCCTCAACATTGATTGGTTCTTCATCATAGCCTATCAGTTCTGATTCTTTTTTCGTGGTAGCACGCAAAATTTCCTCCAGTGACTTTCTTTTATGCTTGTATCCATTATTCTGTGTAAATGTGCAAGGTTTCATTATTGCCACCAATAAGTTGACTTTGCCATGCCTTCTAAGTAATTAATAAAAAAAATCAAGAGTATGAAAACTATGGTGCTAGAGAAACATGCAATTTCCGTTTCATAATATATTGCCAAAACAAATATACCTTCAGTTTTGAAAGCGCTTCTTGTGCAGCTACCTTTCTAGCATCTTTCGAATTCCGGTTTGCTGCAGTACAGCTTATCATCTTGCCATCTATGTTAACTTCTACTTTGACATGGAACTCTCCATTGTCCTCCGTAGGTTTGGGAAGTCTTAACTCAAAACCATTATATTGACAAATTTCTCGGAGTTCTCTCATAGGATCAATGTGCATGCCACAGAAGCTCAATATTGGCTTTAGAAGCATTAGCATTAGCTTCCAAACATGGTTCAGGTTGAAGCCGGAATCTAAAAGCACCGCACCAACACAAGATTCAACAATATCACCAAGAACCTGCATGGTTACAGCAAAAGAATGCAAACTTTGATGAAAAACAAAATACCAAGGTGTCTCCTATAAACTACATGATTCATTCAGAAAATCTATTTTCAAAAAGAGTTCCTAATGTATTAGATAAGCTGAACAGAAGTTTTGAATTAATCCTATACTTGAATGATCTAGGATTCCAAATACCTGTTTATCTTGCAATAGCTATACCTCAAATTCCACTCTCTAATCTTGTATTCCCTCGGTCCCAAATGTGGGCTGTTTTAGGATTCAAGCTGGTCAAACTTCTTTGACTTGACCCATCAACATATTTACATCGGTTGGCAATATATGGTTGATGTTGCTAGATTCATCATGAAAAATACTTTTATAACATATAACTTTCACTATTTCAAATGATATGATTTATAAAAAATAGGAAGTCAAAGTGTCGTTGGAGACTGTCACTGTCCTCAATAACTTACATTTAGAACCAGAGGGAATATAGAAAATTCAAGAAGCTCCTTTAGCAGTAATTATTAATCGTGACTTTTTGTTTCAACTCAAAGAAAATAAAAGAAGTGTTATTAAAGAAATGTAGGAAAAATACACTGAGAAAGGGGTCATTCACAAATTCTATAGAAAGATAACTGAAGTTTCTGCAGCAAGTAAAAAGAATCAAGGAAAGCATATACCTTTGGACATGTTGGTTCTTCTAACAAGTCTTTCTCTGAACTTGAAAGATTAACATAATTCTCAAATTTATTTACCGCTGCCGTAAGAGATTTAGAATCCTTTATGAGATATTTATGGATAGATTTCTTAACGGCCACATAAGCAAATGAATTATTATTCACAGCTAATGATTTCAGATCTGTTAGTTGACCAGGCTTGAGATCAGGGTAAGCTGAGTAGAGGCATGAGGCCATCAAATATTCCAAAACAGCATCTCCAAGAAACTCCATCCTCTGATTAAAATGTACAGAATATGCTGAAGTGAGTGTGTTCTTTACTATCAGAATAGCTCACTAGCAATTAGATAAAAAGGAAAAAGGAAGGTCGGACCTGGTAGCATCCTCCAGAATGCTTATTGAATGAAGGGTGTACAAATGCTTGGAGAAGAAGAGCCTTGTGCTTGAAGGAAGGTGTAGCCAATCAATTCTTCAAGCTCATAAATGTTCATGTAATTCATGAGAGACAAATTGGTGGAGCTTGCATCTAATACTCTATAGAGAGCTGAATTTTCGAAATCAACTTTTATCCCAATCCAATGTAGGAATGCAAATGCAGCTTTGAATCCACACTCGACAATAAAAGCTCCAAGAAGTGACTCAACAACATCTGCAATTGTCTTCCTATGCAACCAATGATGTGATTTTGTACACCTCAAGTTAAAGTTTTCACGTCTATCTGGGTGGATATTCTTCGGGTGTAAAGTCGTCTCTCTGTCAGGATTGCAAACAACTTTACAAGGTCTTCCCAGTGCAAAGAACTGAGTAGGTTCAAAGTGTTGATCCCGTATGTATACCTATATTTTGCATCAAGATGTTTTAATTTTGTGTAAACAATCATGAGCAACAAATTATTCTCACCTGAGGTGGTAAAGGGAAAACATGTGCACAAAATACAGGAGTCATGATTCTCTACTTAAACTTCTTGGAGGCCAATAACCATAATGTAAACAAGAAACATGATAAAATAGATCAGAAACAGAAACAGAAACAAATGTGTTCAACAGAATTGGATGGTAATTAAGAAAGAATCAAATTAACATCAAAGCTAAGTTGCACAGGGGCTGGACAAGGGGGATTTGATGCAGGGGTGGAGCCACATTGTGGCTTCTGGGTGCGACCGTGCCATCAAAATAAGTCAGAATCAAGTTATAATGCCTAATTTTGCACCCTAGCAGCCCAAGCCTATGTACCGACAGCCCAGGAGCCTAGGCTATTGCTTGAATATAGTGCATATGAATGTAATTGCCCCTTTGGAACGGATTTGGAAAATCATGGGCACCACTACTTTGTAAGTTTTTCATGTGATCGGCAATTGTTAACCGATGCTGGACCACTGATAGGCTAGATAATACCCACTGCCTTCTGTGTAATCAAGCTCCTGAATCGATGCAGCCCCTCCTGATTTCTTGTGTGGTCTACGGGCTTGCGTATGGTGGCGCTGCAGGCTGACACAATAGGGTTTTCCCCTTGTGGAGCCAAGCTCTTAAACAGGCCAGCAAGCAACTTAAAAAGGGATTTAATTCCTTTGGTTATTCTGGTTGCTTGGGAGTTACGGAAATACTGCAACAAAGGAACCTACTATGGTGCTTCTCTAGATGTGAACAGGGTTGGTGTTTTTTGTGGTTCTTAAAAAGGAGCTCCAGCATGGCTATTAGTAGGACACACAAAGCGCTTTAAGGCCTTTGTTTTTTTTTTGTCTGTTTTCTTTCTCAACCACTGAGGCATATGCCCTAACTTATTTTGCATGGGATATTTGATATTGTACTCCTGCATGTTAAAAAATGCAACACTAAGTCCCAAGTCACAATGTGGGTCTGTTTATATATAGTCGGGACAAAAATCATGATTTAAACTTTTGCCATCTTGTGCTTGAGGTTCAACCGTTCAACCATGTAACCATGTCAGCACAAGGACAAGCACATTGGATCTCTTCTACAATAAGATAGGATGAAATAACTGCTATAACTATATAAAACTTAGCATAAAATAAATATTGGGATCATTGATACAATCAACTCACCTGCAAATTTCTTCTAATTGATAACTCGTATAAATTCGAATTACTCACTATATCAGAACGTCTCCTGGTCAACTGACCTTCATCAAGTCCTTCATATGAAATAAAGTTATGGCGCCCAACTACATACTTCAAGAAAGCATCACCTAGGACTTCTAATCGCTCCAAAGAGATCCTCTCTAAACACCTTTCAGTAGTCAGTGCTTCAAGGATCTGTAATGAATGTCATAAATCACAATTACTTCAGCATAGATAACAAAATCAAATTAGAAGTTTCAGCCTCAACAGTGCGAAAGTTAGTATTACTTACACCCGAGGCACTAATTTGAGAAGCCTCTGGGAAATAGGATGACATGACATCCTTCAACTCAATAGCCACCAACAAATTCTCCAAGCGACACATTAATGATGGTAGCAAGGACAGAGAACTGCCCATATCTTTTGAGAACCCAGTTATCTTCAAAGAGCATAGCTCTGGAGGTAACTCCACAAAGTGCTCCATCAATTCACGACCCTCAGATTCTTATAAGAAACAGTGAAGGAAAAACATAATATCAAAGGTACTGTACAAGGATCAGAACCATCAAAGAATCACAGCAATCATCTCAGTGCTTAAAATCCATAAAAGCAGGAAGTAGCAAAATACCAGATCAAATACATTAACATGCAGTTCATGAATCTGATTAAAATTTACAGTTGAATTGAGTTGAAAGTAAAATAAAATAAAACAAATGGTTGAACAAACTTCTCTCCAATATATGTATAACTAGACAAGTTATACTTTGTTTGGTGTGTGGAGCGGAAGATGCAGCAGGGAAGGTGTAAAGATCACCAGCACTATTGCAGCGAAGCATCACGCGTCGGGTCGTGATATCCTTGACAGAAAAACCAAGAGCGTCAAATTCTATAGAGCAGTTGTTGTCCCTAGTAAATTGACGGACAGATAGCAGATTGCAGACTAGAGATGGGACAACTAAGACATTATTAAGATGAAAATTGGATGCTGGTGTATGAAGAACAGACTTGCCACGACATGAAATAGGAAGATGTGCACCATTGCCAACTGTAATGGAAGAGTGAGGAGGAGGATGACGAGAGAGGAGTATACCATCCGAGGAGCTCATGTGGGAGGAGGCGCCGGAATCCAGGACCCAGGGATGCTGGCCCTGGAGATGCATCTGATTGAGTGCAGCGACAAGACCATCCTGGTTCTACATGGGAGCTGGTGGAGAGACGTGGAGCGGCGCAAATGTCGTGGGGGCTGCGGAGGCGCGAAGGCCGTGTGAGCCTGAGGAGGGGCGCCAAGCACGCCTGGGCGCCAGCCGGCCTGCTGAGCCGAAGGAGGGCCCTGTGGCGCCCATGGATTGTAGCAAAGCCAGGGGCCCATGGGGCGGTATTGACCAGTCTGGCCAACGCCGCCGCGCTGCTGCGCAGAGCCGTTGTTCCAGCGCCGGCCCTTGCCCTTGCCCTTGCTGCCGCTGCTGTTGCCACCGCCGCCGCCCTTGGTGCTGCCGTAGCCGGTCACGTGTGGGTTGTGTGGACCTCCAGAGTTGGCTGTGGCAACGAGAGCACGGCACCCGCCCGAGCTGGTGCAGCCAGAGCCGGCGGTGGTAAGGAGGGCGGTGCTGGCGACCGTCTTTTCGTCATTGGCGAGACGGAGCTCCTTTAGGGCCAGCATGTCATGGGCCCTGGCGAATGTGGGAAGGACAGGTGTTGGAGAAGCGAGGATTGAGGCCGCGCAGAAGGGCGAGGACGAGCTGCGAGTCCTGGGCAGGATGGCCGACGTCGCGAAGAGCGGCGGCCTTGATCTTCAGCCGCTGGCAGTACGCCGATATGGTGCTGTCACCTTGCACCATGGAGTGAAATTCGTTGAGGAAGATGGCGCGTGGCTCCCGGTTGGCGCGGAAGATCCCTTCAATGGCCACCCACAGATCACGGGCGGTGGGATCGGCACCGTCCATGGCGAGGTCGAGGACGGAGTCGTCGACGGAGCCGGAGATCCAGCCCTGGACGCAGCACTCCGCGGCATCCCACTAAGGATCATGAGGGGGAGCAGAGCCATCGATGTGGGAGCGAAGGCCGAACTTGCCGCACAGCGACTTGAAGAAAAACGCCCACTTGGAGTAGTTGGATTGCGTGTCCAGCGTGAAAGGGATGTGGGACTTGACATTGACCCGGGCGTAGTTGTGAGCCACGATCGGGCAAGCAGCGCCGGTGCTCATGGCAGCCATGGTTGGGGTGCCTGTCATGGCAGTGGTGGGGCCTGGTGGCCGAGGAGGAAGAGGCCATCGGAGATGAGAGGGGAGTAGAAACAGCCGGTGAGGGTGGATGCATGAGGCGAGGAGCGCTGTTGAAAGAGCTGCTGAAAGGAAGTGAAGGGTCACATGGGGAAGGTGCGATCGAGGAGAGTCGCACGGGAGGAAAGGACGGAAAATAGGATCCGATAGGTCGATACCATGTAGAGACACACCTCACACCCAATATGGGGGTGACCTTCATATATATAGCCAATATGGTGGGTATACAAGGAATACAATCAAGTATACATAGCAGGTGCTAATCATAGCTAATCACACATAGACTTGACTACCTTCATATATATAGCCAATATGGTTTGGATATACAAGGAATACAATCAAGTATACATAGCAGGTGCTAATCATAGCTAATCACACATAGACTTGCCTAATAATACTAGGACTTGCTCAGTTACCTGTTAGTGGCAATATCAAATTTGGTTGGTCCCGACACCAATAATCATAAGGTAATTATGATATTGCTCATTTGGATCTGAGAGGAAAACCCTGTTAGGCTCATACCCACAGAAGTGGTCATCTAACGTCTGTTAATATACTTCTGTCTGGCAACTGTACATTTTAGCACTTATGTATCTCCTCAGCCATACAGCTTCGAGGCGCCAATGTTGCCGTCTGGACTCTGCACACTAATGAAAGTATCGTTCATATCTAACTAAGAGAGTACTGGGTACAGGTAACAGTTTTAACTGTCACTGCTCTAGATGCCATTGACTGCCCCTTTTACAGTGCTTTTTTTTTTTTTTTTTTTTTTTGGGGGATGGGGCAATAACAGCGGGTCCTAATATAAACATCAAGATAATATAAAATCTGCATATTCTGTAGTAAATGAATTCAATATGCGCTCATGATCACTCACATTGTTGTCATCCGATGTTAACATTGTCTAACGTAGGGCCTTGGTTGTAACACCCCGCGTCCAAAACTGCTTATATGGCTCAGTTACGCACGTGGAACGGGCCTGCATACGCGTAGCACCTCTCTTACACTTTCGTCCTCGCTTCGTGTAAAAGGGTTAACCCGGAGGTGCTACGTTTGGAACAACAAGGCTTATAAGCTGGCCCTCACCTTTCTAGACTTCCAAGGTGGGGTACTAAACCCACCAACCACAACCACACATAAGCCACTTGAGCCAACTTCACAACTACTACAGGCTACTAATGGGCTGGGGTGTTACATTGGTCTTCTGAATCAATATTCATCTGGGTTTTTTTTTCAAGTGTTCGTATTACTCTGGAAAAAATTGTCAAGGGATCTTTTTTATGATTCTACTAGCTCATGTATTTTTTTCTACAATTCTAGATGCATGTTTTCTTTACATACTTGAAAAAATAAAAAACAAACTGGTAATTGAAATCTAAATAAATATGATCATGATTCATCAAAGCATTGCTTATTATAAACAATTAATCCATAATTCATCATGTACTAGAACCACCGACTAGCTTTAGGGCGAAGATGGAAAAGGCATAGCTGCACGATAGGCGTACATACTATCGGGGATGGTTTGATCACTGGTTCACATAATCCGCCGCTTGCAGACTCAGCAGGTCCCATTTAAATAAGCGAATCTTCGTTCGCCAGCACCAGCAACTAAATTTTTGCAGCCAAGTCAACGGAACATGGACCAAAAAACAGATCAAGAACTACCCTATGACTTGCATTTTTTGTCAGGACCAGCTGTTTAGGTAGTATATGTATATATACATACAGCAGTATGTTTCTTAGAGTTCTGAATACAGCTGAGTCTGTAGTATGTATACTTAGTGATGCCCTTGATTTTGGGGGACCCGTGGGCCGTGGCAGCTGCCCCGCCCACACCCCTCGAGGACCGGGCCTGGGAAAAAAGAGGGCAGGGGCAAAGAGGTTACTTTATGCCTCCATGAGCGTTTGACACTTTGACTTGCCAACAACGGCATAAAAGGATAGAATTTGTAGCCAGATACCATATAGGGATAATTCATTTTGACGGCAAATTAGGGATTCAAGTAAATTGCAATGGTGTAGAAAGAATTATCTCTCGTGGCATACAATCATAGCTACACAAGCGAGGATTAACTAGGATGCTGCCTGGTCTATCGGTCAAGCAAGCAGAGGACTGACTGCACAGGTGCTTGCACGGTGGTGTGATAAAGATACGCCATCTGCCATTGTTTCTTTTTGGCATGTAATAGCTTCTGGGTTGTATGGTTGTGCCTGGAACCGTTGTTATTAAACTGTGTTTGTGTGGGTTTTGATCGAGGCTTGTCTCTTGAATAAAGTAGGTTAGTCCTAGGTCCTTTCTCAATCCGCCGTTATCCCTAATCTATTTCTGGTTATCAAACTGCTTGAATTTCCATAATGAAAGTAATGGAAATGGTGTCTCATCATTTCAAAAGAGAGAATTATCTCCTTGAAGAAGACTAACCTGTGCTCTCAAGTTGTCGATTATGAAGCAGATTACGCAGACAGAAGAGTTGCTTAGCTTTCAAAAGTGGCTGCTCAGGATGGGAAAGCTCGATATGTAACCTGATTTCAGTAAAGCGTAACATTATGAAGCAGTTCAACAGATGCATCGCCTACCTCCATATTATAATAATGATACAGAAATAATGACGCATGGCTAGTATAAGATCAAGGCAGATACTGAAAACTACGAGTGATACAGCTCTATTACAGAAATATGGATAAATAAATCCAAAGACACAGTTCTGCTGGATATTTGTAGTTAGTTTGTTCTCAACATAAAGGATGTATGCTATCATAGGAAAATTCTATTTACTACAACTGAATAATCCACTTTGTCCATTTGACACCCCTAAACAAAATTTCAGCTCAATTCACTCCCACAATCTAATTCAATTGGCCTAATCTACACCCTGATGTTTTTCTCTCTTTTTCACGTGCAGGTTGAGATTTAAGTTCAACATTCTTGGGGTGATAGAGTACACGATATCCCATGTTAGAAAAAATACATTAAGAGTTTTTCATCACAGAAGGATACACATAGGAAAAAGTTCACTTTACTACCCCAAACAATCAACTTTGTTTGTTCGACTGCCTGCAAAAAATTCGGCTCAATTTGCTCCGCCAAATTATTTCAGTTTGTCCAATCTAACCCCTAATGATTTATTTTTCTCGTTTGTTGCTTTGCATGCAAGTTTAGTTTTGAGTTATAATTTTGCAGGGGATAAAGGACACGATATCTTATCTCATAAAAATACATTAAGAAATTTTCATCACTATTTTTCATATAATTTTGTGTTTCTCAGGTTAGTTTAGCTTTACATGCTCCTAACTACGAAAACAATCATGAACAATTCTTAATATATACTTTTTTAACACAAGTTATGATGTCCTTTGTCACTCCACACAATCTGAAATTAAAAACTAAATTTGTATACAGGGAAACAAAAAAAGATATCACTAGTAGGGAGTAGATTGGACCGATTGAAATAGTTTGGGGGAATAAATTGAGCCGACATTTTGTTCAGGGGTTTAAGCGGAGAAAGTGGATTGTTCAGGATAGTAAAACAAACTTTCCTCATTATCATATTACATAGCATAATACTTATCGTTCTGAAATGGTACGCATAACTCTGAAATCTTAGAGCTTTGTGATCTAACTATATTTGCCTTGCTGGAAGCTCAACATGGTATAGTACATTTTTGCAATATTTGTAAACAACAATGTATGTTAAGAATGGCATGTAAGAAATAATTCATCCTTTTACCTTTCCTTAAAATGTTCTGCATAAGTTGCACCGTTCAACTCACTTTTAGCATTTGTTCCATCCAGAATGGAGTCAACGAAGAAAAACAGGTCGGTGTGGGGAGTATATACCAAACTGCCAATGACATCAGCTTTCTTTATACGCTCCACCAAGAAGCTTCAAAGACTCATTTGGCAAACATGAATCAGGCAGAGACAAACCCATTGGATCTTGAAATGCAGGTGACGATAAACACTTCTTTATTGTTGGCCAATCAATCATATTATCACCATAGAATTTCTGCTTGATGGGAAGTAAAAGGTAAAATGTTGAATCCATGTCCAATGCAGCATCATTCCCCAACAAAATATAAGATGAAGTGAACTCGGATCTGTCCAGGAGAACTTTCAAAAACATTTCTTGAAAATTGTAAAAGTAGTATCATCTGTAAGATAAAAGAAAAGAGACATGTCAGGCAATGTTCCCTGAAAATTGTGTCTTAGCATTTGAACAGATAAGCAAGACAGTGCCTCTTCTTTGTTAAACTCAATCTTTCCCAAATATTTAATTCCTGCTTTCACAATCCTCGCATGAGCAAGATGCAATTCAACATCCAACTTTTCAGATTCCTCTGGAAGGCGATTGATCACAAAAAGACCAAACATCTGATATCGTCTATCTGCTGGTTTGGGAATAAATTCTATGTAATAGAAATGCAACTTCAATGAGCAATCTAGTTTGCATCTTGAAGGTCTCAGAACTGCAGGGATTAACATCTCATGAAGCTCTTCCCTAAAACTTTCATCTGAAACATGGAAAAAAATGCTTAAGCCAAATTACTAATATTATCCGCATCATATTCTGAATAATGAACAATGACCATACCCTCATCTTTGTTGCTTTCTGAAATATTTGTTGTTGATACCTTCATCTTTCTAGAGCCTTGGCCAGGTAGAAGAAAATCTGTCAAAGCACCGAGTTCATGAAGTTTAATGCATGCTTTCAAGCATGCATCTCTTAGCTTCATCTTTCGATGGACAGGGTTGACCATTCACTTGACGGAAAGCAGCATTTGGTGGAAGAATTAGTCTGCAAACTATTCCATCAATGTCATCATCGAAAAAAGAAGAATGATGGGGAAGGAACAAAAACCTGCAACAAGATGTATCAAATTATTCTAGTAGAGTATTTACATGACGCAAAATGGGTAGAATAATAAACGATCCTTTGCATACATATCTCTAGGAAGGTTATCACAGTAGCGATGTAATAGAGATACACTGCAAGCAGTGCTAATGGAAGCGCCAGTATCATTGACTCGATAGATGTTCTCCTCAAGGCAATCGAACATATCATTTGATGTTCTCAAGTTAATCTCTTTATCCATAATGCTTTCACCAGTAATATAATCATCAAGTAACTTCTCCTGAGACTGATTTCCCCTGGTAAATATCAAAATGAAGGGCTTCAAGGTCTAGAACCAAAAACAAGGAACTAAATTCAAGGAAACATTAATAGCATTATGATAGGTTTGTGTAAATTAGCCAGTGTAATCGGTGAATGCAGGCGTGTGCTCGTGGGTGGGTGTTACGAAAATGACCTCTCCAGGAGAAAAACATATTTAGATTTACTCATCCGGGCACGTCCCCTTGACTGGATAAAGCTATTAACAGTTTCAGGGAGATCAAACCGCACAACAAGGCAGCAAGTCTGAATGTCAAGTCCCTCCTCACCTACACTAGTAGCGACCAAAAGGTTCACCTGAAAAAAAAAGTAAGGAAAAAGGGACTGTAACACAAGAAGCATAAACATATATACTGGTGTTAGTGGAGATAATAAAGATAAACCTGACAAGGACTATTAAGGATGGACAGACTCCAGATTATACCTCACCCGAAGAGAACTTTTCAATGATAGAACCCATCTTGTCCCTTGACATGTTCCTTAATCCCGAGTGGCATCCCACAAGAAACTCACATTTCCAAAAATCAAGGCACTTCAGATTTTGGAGAATATGTGCTACTACTCTTGCGACAATGATTCTTTTCACAAAAACAATGCATTTCATGTTTTCCTCCAGCCTGTAGAAGAAACCAAAGAGAAAACAACCAGGATGATGCCAATAGAATTGAAGGCAGAAACTTGTTTTAAAATGGTTACAGCTAAAACATTGAAATTGCTTAGTTTGTTGTTGGGTTTTGAACACATTCAAGGCCTACAGCAAACCAATAGAATATATATAATTTCAACAATGCGGCAAACAAGTACATCACTGGCTAGGATGTCTGTAAGTATAAACTTCAAACTCATGCAGAAGTCTCGAAATGGCCATCCTAGCTGTTATGTGGGATAAAGATCGATGATAGATCTATTGAAACAACGGTTGATTCGCCTTCCCTCCGGCCAGGTGCATATTATGATGGGTATTGTCATCTCTCAGCAGAGACCACAGATTATGTATGTAAAGTAGTAAGGCCCTTGTTATCCCAACTCACACCAAATTAGTTAAGCTATGAATTATAATGTGTATGAGGTGTTTTCAGCTAATGAAGTTGTGTTGATGTTTCCAATTCATGGCGTAACTAGTCTTTCTGGTAATTCATAGTGAACTTAATAACCATGTTGTCAGCACCATTTTCTATATGAAATCCCAGAAATCAGTTGTATACCTTTCAATTGTGCAAAATCTTATATCCTGACATGTATCCCCTTCATATTTGTTCATAACTCCATATTAGCTTGCTAGCTACCATAGCCAGCTGGGTATCTACAAATCTTCAGTGGATGCATATGAAGCTGAGTTGCCTTAAAGGGAGAGTTGTACATCTAACTTGATGAAGACTATGAATTCATATTCTAGTCATTTTAGGCTCAAGCGTAGCCTATAAAATTTCTAACTGCTTGTTTGTGTACTATAAGATTGATCCTGGGGCCAACCAATTACTGTAAGCTGGCAGGCTATTACCTGTATTCTGTACAGTTATGAGATTTTCAATGCAAGGCAAGGTAGGGATTGTATAATTATATACACAACTGATATCATATTTGATTGAAAGAATGTGGTGGCAGTGAGACCAAACTCAGGCACCTGGCAGGACTGTAGCTTATAATGCCTTAAGTACACGACTGAAAATCAAAGATGTCATATGTTTCTGAAAAATGATAGTAGCACAAGTGATCATGCTTACCTGTATCTCGATAGAACGTCAATAAGAACTGCAAATTTTTTTGAGAAGAAAGGTTCTTCTATTGTCTCTAGGTCAAATGAATCAGCATCCGCACCTTAAAAACAAAACTGTCAGATTTTTTAATTGATAATATAAAAAAATTATGCATTTTCCAATTATTTCCAACAAAAAGTAACTCCAAAAGGTCCACTATAAACTATATGTATGACATATGCAGATCAGCTTGTTGAATAATATATCCAAAACACCAGCAACGTGTACGAGGAGGGGAGTTCACCTTCTAAGATGCCGCGGCTTAGAAGAGACGTTGCTTTGTTTACATAGTCATTAATGTCAACCCCCTTTCCATCTAGACTAACACTACTGGGAGAGAGAAAGGTCCTTGCAGCCTGCACTACAATCAAACAAATAATATCACATACGTGTTAAGTTCACACCTAATTTTGACATTAGGCAAAAAAAAAATGCGGCGGCCGAAATGGATGCCACAAGTGGGGAGTAGTGAATACTCTGCCATAAAAATAGTTCAATGACATGTATGGCATGGGGCTAAGAATGTGTGGTAAGCCACAATCGTGGCATTAAGCAGAACACATACTTCACAAACTGTGGCAGGTCAAGGTTTTATCCCAAATTAAATAGGCCAACATGGAGGGGATCCAAGATTTTTTAATAAAAACAAACCACCATCCATCTATTCGTTGTGGTTTGGGAAAAAATATTTGGGCCTGTCATCTTTTCAAGCCTCTCCTTCTGAGTGCAATGAATCTTGTGTTTATTACTTATGAAGAAAAAGGCAATACCAAAGCACACCAAGATAAATGTAATTAAAAAAAGATCTTGCAAGGATGTAAGCTATTTGGGATCAGTAAGCCTTCAAACATCTTCATATTGAGGAGGTTTGTCAAGTGAACATAATCACAAATGTCACTCAAGGATGCAAAAAAAGTACATTATAGTCAGTTTATTAAAACAATAAGAATAAAAAATCACGTATACAAGAAAACACTGGGTAGCTTGAAACACATATGCAAGCTATTGGCTGTTACAGACTTCCAGTACAACAGTTCTACATTCCTACTGCTGCCAAAATACAAGGAAGTGAGGAACAGTGAAGAAGGAATTCAACTGAGGCGAGATTGTATAAAGATTTAAATGCTGGCTGAACAAACTGTGCAAACTCACTTGGAGAGCTCCAAAGAGACCAACTTCTTGCAAACAGAAAATCAAATTTTCATGCAACCTCCATAACGACTTCAGTTTCTTCTGTGACTCCTTGAAATTGCATGCACTCTCTCTTAACATGTATTCAGACTGTTCAAAGCACATTAGAAGCTGTTGAAGGACAAAGAAAAAAGAAAATAACCCAAAATCTCATGTTAACTGGACCAAAGATAAATCCTGTATAATTAAAAAAATCACCTGAGACTTATAGCCATCAAGCTCATTGATGTAAGTCGTAATCAAGTTAGAGTGACCAACTGGGCCATAAAAGTACACTTCAATCTTAGGAGAAGCAATCACACTTTCAAGTTCTACATTATCAACTGAACAAACCTAGAGTACAAGTTTACAAAGCAAACAAACTGTCAAAATCATCTTAAGCCCAGCAGATTTATGGAGAACAGTAGTGGTATGTACCTTTGCATTAAGTAATTCCTCGAGACTGTTGATACATTTAGTGTAGGTAAGCTTGTTAGAACCACCTGTCATAGAAAGTATAGGAATGATAATTAGCCAGCCATGGGGAAGAATAGCTAAATTGGATGACACAACTTTAGAGGAAGAATAACATATTGGTAGGCAACACTCTACATTTCATCTGTTTGTGTTAGTTTTGTTAGTGTAGAAAAGCAGAGATAGAAGGGAAACACCACACCCAATGTGAGGGGGGTGACCTTGATATATATAGCCAATTACATGGCAGCATATATGCAATACATGGCAGGTGCTAATCATACTAAATATAGACTTGCCTAATATACACTTTCCTAATGTATATATCTATCAGTTAGGAGAGAATGAACTCTATCCATTCGGTAGGCTTAAGCCCAAACATGTACATGGGCATATATGCATAGAAGCCCTTACACAAAGAGGAAAGTACACAGACACATATACATCTATATCTAACAAGTCTGACCACTATTTTGTGTGTCCCTAGATACTTATAGAATTTCAATCCAAAGAACAATTCTGCTGCAACAAAATAATGGAGTAATACGACTATACGAGTATCCTTCAGTCACTGTACTTTGAGCTTTTGGCACTCACAATGGTTTGGAATAAAAGGATGAGAAACAGGTGTCCATCTTATTCCACTCTAATAACTCTTCTCCTTCTCTCCTAGGATTGCTCTCTAGTATGTTTCTATCCAATTTTCTTGCTTGCTATACTCCTAGTTTTGTAATACAGCTGAGCAAATTACCAAAAAGACCTCAAAAGTATAAGAGATCATCCCTCCCTGTCATTTCAACTGATTGATCAATTAACCCTTTGGTATATTATCCTTGCTTTCATGCAAAACCTTATGTGTTGTGGATTGGAAAAGAATACCTCCACCACCTAGATTCAAGTTCTCCTCAACTTGAATTTGGATGCCTATTTCTTCTTAATGCAAATCCCCCTACTTCCTTCTAGATCGGTCTAATTTTTCTTTAAAAACATAAACAATATGTTGCACTATCATAAAAAGCTACTAATCTCATTCTGTATTATGCTGGCCATTTAACAGATTACCGATCAAACAATGGTACAGATTGTACGAAGGCAAGAATAATGGACTGCATAATTTGAAAGCTAGGCATAAAGGGAAAGAAAATAAGATTCAAGCACTAACCAAATGAGAAAAGGGCAAGAATATATTCTGACTACAACATAATTTGAAATATGAGAAAGATGGAAATTAAGTTAATACAGTTGCTAGCAGGATAGGTTAAGACCATTGACGAGGAATAAAACATTTAAGTAAGAACATCATTACCTTTTCCAATAATCGGTGAAGCAGTCATGCCAAAAACACGAGGATGTTTATCAGCGTTATTGTAGAATTCCTGAAATATTGTTATAAATATTTTAAGACTAAGAAGTCCACAGTTCATGTAACTTTTTTTTTTTGAACCAGGAAAACAGCAGGGGAAGCCCCCACTGTTAGATTTTATTAAAACACAAAAACAAACACTGAGCAAAACAAACGGAAAACACTTCAGCTAACCCCAAGCGAGGCTAGAACAAGAAGAAAAACAAAGAACCACTAAACACAAGAATCAACCTAGAGAGAAAAACAGATCGCTTGTTTTCAGAAATCTTATACGCTTGTAGTCGAGCTTCATTTTTTAGAGATCTTCTCCAGGAAGAGAAGGAAGGAGGTCCTCTCATAAAAATGAGGTTATTGAGTTCATGTAACTTTCTAAAGAGTCTTTAAGAGGTATAGTACAACTTCTGCATATGTTCAATTGATTCAAAGCAATGAAATTTCATCAATTTGTCATTCCAACTACCTGATCAAACCTTCATAACTGCATAAGAGTGTTTGTCATGTATTCAATTAAACGTTGAGAGGAAAAGAAGGAAACAAGTAGCTCTGGATCATCACCAGGTTGTGGCTCAATGCAACAATACCATGCATCATGAAGAATACAGTGACATATGTATATAAGAACAGCAAAAGCCATAAAAGATGATGCGCCAATGTGATAATAAATTATATCTGGTGCATCTACCATCCATAACAAAGTAAACGGCTATAGCATACTCTAGCTCAGTTGATGGAAGGTGCGGCTGGGCACCCTCCACGCCTCGGGTTTCGAGTCCTCTTCAACTCGAATTCAGGTGCCTATTTTCTTTTATTGACAGTGCCACCTAGTTACTCCTAGGTTGGTTGAGAAAATGAGAAGTGAATGGTAATGAAGATTTAGTTAACTTCTCCCTCCGTTCCAACTTATAAGTTGCTTTGACTTTTTGGTAGACATAGCAAATTCGATGTACCAAAGAAGTCAAAGCGAATTTATAATTTGGAACGGAGGCAGTACTATAAGAAACAAATATGAATGCCAGATATTGAGAAGTATATGGTTGTGAAGATTTAGCAATTATTTTTCTAAGAAACAAATATGAATGTCAGATATGGATTCGAATAAATTTTAAATACTCATATATGTATATTAGAATATTGTGATAATCTGTATCTTAGGATGTCAATGGAACCATTGTAGAATTCTGAGAATCCTTTGCACACATTAATATAGGTACAAGCACATGCGTAATCTCAAGTTATACCAAATGTATTCCGCATACTGATTTTATTAGGAAAGGATCCATTAGGATCAATTGGTATTAGGACAGGATCCATTAGGATCAATTGTTATTATTAGGATAGGATCCATTAAGATCAATTGTATAGGATAACTATCCATGTATAGCCTAGCTTCCTTGTATTATACCACCTACCTTGTACCACAGGTTGATCATGGCTATATATATGCAAGGCAACCCCCCACCCCCCACAATGGACGTGTGGTGTGATTCCCATACCTTTCTACAGTTTTGAAACTGAAAATATATAGGCAAGTTCATCATCAGCAAAAAAAGGTTGTACATCCAATCTGTTCCAATGCCTCTAGAAGTCTAGAGGCTGAATTTACCCACCCACATGTTTAGTACCGAAAATATCTACAGTATTAGTTTCTTTTTTTTCTTTTTTTTTGGCAAGTTACTACATTAAAATCCTGTCAGCCATAGCAACACACTTCCTGTCATCAAGATAAATTCAACAGAAATGAAGAATTAATGTTGCACAGGTACAGGAGGAAGTTCTGTGACCTGAATATTAATTTCCAGAGATTGCAACAGATGATAGTACAGGCACTGAAATTGTACGCGAGCAGTTACCTTCATAATTTGTGCATATGGATGCCTTTTTTGTGCTTGTGCATGATGGCATTCATCAAATATCAAAAGTGCAATTAAGTCCATCTTGATGAAACAATGACGCAAATTGTGCAATAATATTTGGGGAGTCATTACAAGGACCTGAAGCGGCAGAGAAAGCAGAACAAGTTAGGAAGAAAAAAATTATGCATAAGAAACAATGATGGTACAGATAGATTATGTTTGCCCAAAGTTGCGTGCAAAAGTTGATATAAATTGGTTATGTTCGCCAAAGTTGTGTGCTGATACAACTGTTGATTTTTCATTTTACTCAAGAGTCAGAACACTGGTTGAAAAATGATCATAGGCTAAACACATCTCTGTCTGAATATTTTTCTCCACAACATGTCAAGTACTATAGCTTTGGGCTTTGGACAAACATAAAGTCCCAACGAAGTACGTCGGGCTCATTAAGGACATGTACAACAATGTTGTGACTAGAGTTCGAACAAGTGATGGAGACACGGATGACTTCCCGATTAGGATAGGACTACATCAAGGGTCAGCTTTGAGCCCTTATTTGTTTGCTTTAGTGATGGATGAGGTCACAAGGGACATACAAGGGGACATCCCTTGGTGTATGCTTTTCGCGGACGATGTAGTGCTAGTTGATGAAAGCCGGACAGGAGTGAATCAGAAACTGGAGTTATGGCGGAAGACTTTGGAGTCCAAAGGTTTTAGACTTAGTAGAACTAAAACTGAGTATATGAGATGTGACTTCGGCACTACTACTCGGGAGGAGGAAGATGTTAGTTTGGAAGGTCAAGTAGTGCCTAGGATGGATACCTTTCGATATTTAGGATCAATGCTACAGAGGGATGGAGATATTGATGAAGATGTTAGCCATAGAATCAAAAAGGGGTGGATGAAGTGGCGGCAAGCGCCCTGGTGTCCTATGTGACAAAAGGGTACCATGAAGCTAAAAGGTAAGTTTTATAGAACGGCGATTAGACCTGCTATGTTGTATGGTGCGAGAATGTTGGCCTCTGAAAAAGACGACATATTCAATACCTAAGTGTCGCATGGAAATGCGTATGTTGCGTTGGATTTGCGGGCATACAAGAAGGGATCGAGTTCGGAACGATGATATACGTGAGAGATTAGGGGTAGCGCCAATTGAAGAAAAGCTTGTCCAACACCGGTTGAGATGGTTTGGACATGTGCAACGGAGACCTTCAGATGCACCGGTGCGTAGTGGAATCCTAAGTCGGGATAGTAACGTGAAGAGAGGCAGAGGAAGACCGAAGTTGACTTGGGTAGAGGCAATAAAAGGAGACTTGAAAGGATGGAATATACCCAAAGACTTAGCCTTAGATAGGAATGCTTGGAAGACAGCTATTCACGTGCCTGAACCTTGATTGTTTCTGTTGGGTTTCAACTCTAGCCTACCCCAACTTGTTTGGGACTTAAAAGCTTTGTTGTTGTTGTTGTTGTTGTTGTAGCTACTAAAAATCTTCAAAACAGGACTATCAGTGGTCACTTGGCAGCTGCCAGCAAAAAGAACATATAGCACACCATACCTCGTATTCTCGCATCTCTTTCTCCCATGCCTGGTGATCTCTAGAGTTTTTACCACTTCCATAGTAACGTTGAACTTTAAAATTAGTGGAATCCGCAATCACCATTGCTTGCTACAAAATACAAATACAGAAAAAGAGCACTGACTAAGCATGTAAAGGTGCACCTGGTACCGAAAGTTGTGGTCACAAACATCCATAAAAAGAAATGAGCGTGTACTCATAAAAAAATTGATAGCATGACTTCATCCCCACCAAAAATGAATATAGATATAGTGAGAAGAGCAGGGAGCTATTCTACCTGACGGACAAGGGGTATGGTCGGTGCGAGGAAGACGCAGACCTCGCGGCTGGGTTTGCGGATGAGGTGTCCAAGCTCATACATGAGTAACACGGCAATGTGTGTCTTCCCACATCCTGTTCCAAGGTACACCACGATGTTCTCATCGACTGCCCTCTTGCAAAGATCCAGCTGATATCTAAATACCAAAAGCTAGCAAACCATCAGTGTTTTTTCCATACTCCCAGTATTATTTGAAGGAAATCCTTGATTAACAAAAGCTAAGGTAATGCAGCAGAGCGACACTAATTTGTCTGACAATATTTTAGGAAAAAAAAAAGAAACTTAGGGTCTCATTGCTGCTACATGCAACATTCAATGAAAAAGCTGCCCACCATTTGCCACAAAGTAATAAGGCCTTGTTTAAATCCAGGTTGTAAAGTTTTGGGGTGTCACATGGGGGTGTCGCATGGGATGTTCGAATGCTAATAAAAAAACAAATTACAGAATCCGTAAGTAAACCGCGAGACGAATTTATTAAGCCTAATTAATCCATCATTAGCACATGCGTTACTGTAGCACCCCTTGTCAAATCATGGACTAATTAGGCTTAAGAGATTCGTCTCGCAAAGTAGTCGCGATCAGTGTAATTAGTTATTTTTTTAGTCTATATTTAATACTCCATGCATGTGTCCAAACATTCAATAGGATAGTGTGTAAACTTTTGGGGAGGAACTAAACAAGGCCTTGGCAGGAATGATGACTACAAGGCACAATCACCACGACATCTCGAAGAGTTATTACTTGTTCATTTATGCATTGACACGTATCTGGGGTGCTGCATTGCCATAAAGTAATTGCGTAGACAGGCTGAGGATCACACATGCTTTTAATGCCGAGCAGGCGATCAACAGGACCGAATCCTAGAGATTAAGGGATATCACGTTCTCGATCTTCGTAACAGGAGGCATTAAACATCCATAGCTGCAAACGGCGCAGGGGTATTCTAGGTATTCCTTGGAATACCCATATTTTCTGTAACAAAATAAATTTGTATTGGGTATACTAAAATGTCTAATTCTACGAGTGCCTTTAGTTCTTGCTGTTTGGTGAAAATTATTCTCGAATACCCTGGTGGAGAATCCAGGCTCCGCCGTCCAAATCGCAACTTATGCGAAAACTCAAACTCCCTCACGAAACGCTTCTATCAAACAATCTAAAAAAAATGTGGAAAACCGAAACCAGTAGTATCAGCCGTGAAAAGTAAGTTAAATGACAGGAAGAACAAAAAAACAATCGCGTCTCAAAACCTGCCTAAAACCTTCACGAACTCCCGACAGATGAGCAATACACAGCGAATCGATGATCTCGCACAAGAAATGAACAAACAAAAATCCACCACTACCATAGAAACTGCGCAGACAAATACGCCGGCCGGCCCTCCGCGCGAAAATCTAAAAACAGATCAGAAGAAGGATATGAAGGGGCGCTTACTTGCGAGCGATCGTTCTCGGATCCTTGGGTTCGACCGCGGCCGCGCCGGAGCTCGAGCTCTCAGCCTCGTCCTCGCCCTCGCCCATGGCGGAAGCTTCGAGCGGAAGCACAAGGATGTGGGGGAAAGTAACAGAACAAAAGGCGGAGGTGTATGTGAAACTGCCGTGCGTTGAGAGGCTGCGTTGAGGTAAGCACAGAGAGGTGGGAGCTGGTCTTGTCGCGTCAAATGGGTCGGAGGGAGCACGAGAAGAGAAGGCAGGGTACTGAGCCCCGCTGATGGCCGGGGGGGCGGCGGGTCTACCCGTCTAGTCGAACTGTCTCGCCGGGTTTTTGTCTGCGGGCTGGCGTCAGTGCGTGCAATTGATGCGGTAGGCGAGAGGGGCCAAACGGGTTGCCGCTGACGCGAACGGCGATCTACTGGCCCACGGACCTGTATGATTGGCCGGTTCGTATAGTCGTTGGTTTGTTTATATGAGAGAGAAGTACTGTTGACTGATTTATGTGAACAGTAGCCATGTGAGGGGCTGGCCAGACAGCCCAGCCAACCCAGTCTCAGCGATCAGCAGCCTGCAGCCTGTTTGTTTGGCTGTGGCTTGTCGTAAACGATTGTAAATTTTCAGTCGGAACAGTATTTTTCTCTCACACAAACTAATCAGTAGTATTTCTTTACGAACCAGCAACGATACGAACCGGCCATCGTTTCGTGGCTGGTTCGTAAAAAAGTACGGTTGACTAGTTTATGTGAGAGAAAAATACTATTCTGACTGAAAATTTACGATCGTTTACGACAAGCCATAGCCAAATGAGCAGGAAGCAGGCTTAGCCGAGGTATATTGACTGCCTTTCGGCGTGGCGTGACTACAGCCTGGGGGTGTTTAGTTCCTTCAAATTCCAGAATTTGACACTATGCAAAAAGAAGATTCCCCGTCACATTAAATTTGCGGTACATGCATGGAGTACTAAATGTAGACGAAATTAAAAACTAATTGCACAGTTTGGTTGTACTTTGTGAGACGAACGTTTTAAGCCTAATTAATCAATGTTTGGACAATTATTACCAAATAAAAACAAACAAGTTACTGTAGCTACAGTAACTTGCAAATTCGGCCGGCGCCAACTTGGTGCCCAACTAAACAAGGCCCTGATGACGGGCGACTTGGGAGTTGGGACCGTGCCGCGTGGTGGGGGGAGTATCTCGTAAAAAATAGTATTCAAAATCTATTCTACAATTCATATCTTATTATTTTAGCGTACAAATCTCTCCTTAGAACACAGTAATTCCACACAAATTGTGTAAGAATTTCGCAGAAATTGCTACAAACTCTGTGCTGTAAAAACTCTAAAAAATTTCATAGAAATTATGTAGGAATTTACAGAAATTAGTTCATTTTTACTAAAAACATGAGAAATAGAAAAAAATCATTCGTTCAAAAAGGGTTCTATACATTTGATACTGTTAAATATTATACGGGTTTATGCCCATATTTTATTTAATAAATCAATTAATTCTAGGCCCATATTAAATGCTGTGGTACAATATAGTTTTAGTCTCGTATGGGATTTTGACTGATTGTTAACTCAATTTAAATAGGCTACACACTTGTGCACCTATAGAGAAGTTGAAAGAGGCCAAAGGCGTGGCCGCCGCCGCCGAGCCGAGCCGTGCATGAGCGCCACTTGGGCTGTCTAAGGAAGAGGAAGGAGTACAGGCGCTAATGTGAAGGAGTTACTTATGGGTCCGTTACCATCCACTACAGTGTGATTACTCGTAATCACTTCGACTCTTCGTCTCCCTGATCTCATCCTCTGCGCGCACGGAGCTTTGGAAGAGCAGGCCTTCGGACCCGGCGTTCGCATCGAGACACCTGTTCGGGTGTGTGCAGGCGATCAGGTTTTTAGGGAGCGTCTCTGCGATTGCTCGTCGTCTTCATCTCCTTCCTGTTGGTGCCCTTTCTTCCTTGGTTCGGCTTGATTACTCGTAATCACTTCGACTCTTCGTCTCCCTGATCTCATCCTCTGCGCGCACGGAGCTTTGGAAGAGCAGGCCTCCGGACCCGGCGTTCGCATCGAGACACCTGCTCGGGTGTGTGCAGGCGATCAGGTTTTTAGGGAGCGTCTCTGCGATTGCTCGTCGTCTTCATCTCCTTCCTGTTGGTGCCCTTTCTTACTCGGATCGGCTTCGTCTACTTCCCGGTGGACGTTCGAGGGACGGCACTACGTACATCTTCCTACACCGACTGTGGTCCGCGACTTCGAGCAACTCACCATGAGTAGGTCTGGAGCCACTGGTGCCTTGAGCATGGGTCCCTCTGCAGGTACATCTCTATTCTTAAATTGGTTAACTTCAATTTCTTTTTCGCTATTATCAGTATGATGTTCATCAACATATTTGCTGCTAATCTGAGTAGTAGTAAAATCACACACGTGCACATATTTGTCATCACAAATTTGTTATTATTTTTCTGAATTAATTTTAACATGAAATTGCCTAAATACCTAACAATCCAAAAACCTGATTTTAGGCAATTTTCTGTTAGTGATTTTGCTGCTGCTTTGAAGCCAAATGATTTTGATGGAACAAATTATAAGACATGGCGTGCTAAGATGGTGTTGTGGCTTACTGCTATGAACTGTTATCACGCCGCACAGGGGAAACCTAAACAATTTGCTTCTGAGGAGGAGAAAAAGTTCCAAATAGCCGATAATCTATTTCGAGACGCCGTGATTAGTGTACTTCACAGCAAGTATAAGGACAGCTACCTCCATTACATGTCAGGCAAGGAATTATGGGATGCACTTGATGCTAAGTTTGCTGTTTCTGACGCCGATAGCGAGTTGTACGTCATGGAGCAGTTGTTTGACTACAAGATGGTTGACAACCGTTCTGTGGTCAAACAAGCTCATGAGATATAGGCACTGGCTAAGAAACTCGAACAATTCCCATGTGTGTTGCCCGACAAGTTTGTGGCCGGCAGTATAATCGCTAAGCTGTCACCTTCTTAGATGGATTTTACTACCTCTCTAAAACACAAGAGACAAGAGTTTAGCGTGGCTGAGCTTATTGGGTCTCTTGATGTTGAAGAGAGGGCGAGAGCAAAAGACACGCGTGGAAAAGGCGTTGTGTCTTCTAGTGCCAACATGGTGCAGAAGAAAATTTCAAATACATCTCGTAATAATAAGAAGAAGAACAAGTAAGAGAACAACTTGAAGCCTAAACAAACAACCACTTTTAAGAAGAAAAAGAACAACAAAGATGGTGGTTGTTTTATTTGTGGGAGTGATGAGCATTGGGCAAGTTCATGCCCAGACCGCAATTTTAAGCAATAGAAGAAATCTGCAAACATGTTTGTTAGCGAGGCTGTAGAAGGAACATCTAGGTATGGTAATTCTTTACCTACCGTTCTTTTAGTTTGTCATTCGCCTGAGTGGTGGATGGACACTGGGGCTAATACTCATGTGTGTGTTGATGCCTCTTTGTTTTCTTCTTATCAGGTCAGCGGGACTAGAGCCTTGCTGATGGGGAATGGGTCCCATGCGCGTGTTCTTGGTGTTGGTACGGTCATTTTAAAGTTCACTTTGGGAAAGGCGGTGCTGCTGAAGAACGTGCATCATGTCTCCTCCATAAAAAAGAATCTAGTTAGCGGCTCTCAATATTGTCGAGATGGTTATAAAATTGTCTTTGAGTCCAATAAACGTGTACTGTCAAAGTATGGAACTTTTGTTGATAAAGGTTATGATTGTGGAGGCTTATTCCGCTTATCCTTGCATGATGATGTGTGTAATAAAATTGTGAACAATGCTATTATCCCTGATGAGTCAAATATTTGGCATTCATGTCTTTGTCATGTTAATTTTGGTTGTTTATCGCGGCTTGTAAATCTAAATTTAATCCTAAAAATTAATTTGCTCAAAGGTTCTAAGTGCCATGTGTGTGTGCAATCTAAGCAACCTCGTAAACCTCACAAGGCTGCGGAGACGAGGAACTTGGTGCCATTAGAACTAGTCCATTCCGATCTATGTGAGATGAATGGAGAGTTGACTAAAGGTGGCAAAAGATACTTCATGACTTTTATAGACGATTGTACTAGATTTTTCTATGTGTACATGTTAAAAACAAAAGATGAAGCGTTGCATTACTTTAAAATCTATAAAGTTAAAGTAGAAAATCAACTTGAGAGGAAAGTTAAACGGTTAAGGTCTGATCGTGGTGGAGAATACTTTTCAAGTGAATTTTCTGATTTCTATGTAGAACATGGAATTATTCATGAGAGGACACTACCATATTCACCACAGTCTAATAGGATTGCCAAAAGAAAGAACCGTACTCTAACTGAGTTGGTTAACGCTATGTTGGAGACAGTGGGTCTATCTAAAGAATGGTGGGATGAGGCTATTTTGACGACATGTCATGTCCGGAATAGAGTTCCTACAAAGAATAAAGAAATCACACCATTTGAGGAATGGGAAAATAAAAGATTAAATCTCTCATATTTTTGCACTTGGGGTTATTTGGCCAAAGTAAATGTGCCAATTAACAAAAAGCGCAAACTTGGACCTAAAACTGTTGATTGTGTTTTCCTTGGTTATGCTATTCATAGCGTTGGATATAGATTCTTAATTATAAATTCTGGGGTACCTGACATACATGTTGGTACTATCATGGAGTCCAGAGACGCTACATTTTTTGAAAGTGATTTTCCCATGAAAAATATGCCTAGCACGTCTAGTCATGAACCTATAATTCCTCATGAGCAATTTATTCCGGTAGAACATTCTGAGGATCCTCATATGCATAATCCTGAGGAGGATGACATTGTAGTCACTCGAAAGAGTAAGAGACAACGGACTATAAAGTTTTTTTATGATGACTACATTTGTGTACCTTGTGGATGACATACCAAGAACCATTGAAGGGGCATATTCCTCTCCTGATGCTAAGTTGTGGAAGGAAGTAGTACAGAGTGAGATAGATTCAATTATGTCTAATGGGACTTGAGAAATTGTTAAACATCCTTATGGATGTAAACCAATAGGACGCAAATGGGTGTTCAAGAAAAAACTTAGGCCTGATGGTACAATTGAGAGG